TTATTTATTTATTTGACAGAGAGAGATCACAAGTAGACAGAGAGGCAAGCAGAGAGAGGGAGGGAAGCAGGCTCCCTGCCAAGCAGAGAGCCCGATGCGGGACTCGATCCCAGGACCCTGAGATCATGACCTGAGCCGAAGGCAGCGGCTTAACCCACTGACCCACCCAGGCGCCCCACAAAAATAAATTTTGAAAAAGACATAGAGGTTATTGAAATGAAATGCTTCTGTGTAAAAATCTGCCCACATCTCTCTTCAAAGGACGCTAAGGTTTCACATTCCCCTTTTGAATTCAGATTATTTTCCCCCAAAGTCTCCTGCACCACACCCATGAGTGAACCTTAAGAAGGGCCAATCTCTCTGTTGATCTGGGTGACTCTGTTATTAAACAGCACTTGGCATCATATAAATGTAAATACCTGGTTACATTGAGCCAACTTAACAGGTAGCTGTCAAAATACCAGAATGAAGAAATTTTAGTCAATTAAACTATTAACAATTAACTAACAACTATTTTATGGTAATAGAATCTATTAATCTGATTCATTAAAACAGAGATGAATCAAATAAATTACTGATACGAAAGAGGTCAGATTTGAGGTTTGGTGTGGTGAGTGTTAAGCAAGTTTAGGCTAGCCCCAGGGGCTAAAAATGACTTTAAAAGTTATATGGAATGAATCTCCTGTTCAGCCTAACGAAGCACATAAGATAGATTCCAGAAATAACTGACTTAAACTTAATGATTTGAGCAATTTTTAAATTGGTGGTAAGTGGATATAATTTAATATTACAAAATAAATGGAATTTAATTTTGCAAAACTATGGAACATTGTTTTCCATTCGGCTAAGTTCAAATACACGTGAGTGGAACTTAGTTTTGCGAAACTAAAGAACACTGTTTTCCATGTGGATATATAACCTCAAATATATTAAACTTGCAACACTTATTCAAAACATAGTGAATAGAATTGATTAAGCTTGCTAATCAAAAACATGTGTCTAGAGATCAATTCTGCAAATGTTTTCATTTGGTTTTATGTATTATGTTTTGCCTTGTTTCACAAAGGATATGAGTCAGCTTTAAATAATAAATTCAATATAGTGGGAAAATATAATTAGATAAAAATCAGAATCAAGAAAAACAAAGTAGAACAGAAGCTCAATATCAAAGGTAAGTTAGAACATCAATATTAGGTCACAGGTTTTTATAGGGTTATTAAAATCTAGTTGCAAATTTGATTCTGCATTTGCTAGTTGCCAAATCAGAAAGGGAAATATAATCAATTATCTGATGCTAGATTTGCATTGTGAAAAAAAGGCACACAACATTTGTGCAGGGCAAGTAAAGCTTTTCTTTGTCCTCTATCGCTAAATGGAACTTGCCTGGGTCTTCACACAAGAGCTGCAAAAGGAACAATGATCTTGGTAACCACATCTCTTAAGTAACCTAACAGCAGGTTCCTTGTGACGCCTATTATTAGTAGAACCCTCCGCATGTGCACAATTGGGCATGGGGTGGGGTTACAAAAGATGCAAAACAAGGTCACCAATGTACTCATTTCTGAAAATTTCGCTAGACTCCCAGTCTAACATCTAGAACTGGAATGGAATGGGTGGAGCTTATGGCCTTTATTCCGCCAACCTTCTAGAACCATCATTTCTCTCCATTAAGATTCAGGTCAGATTTATGAGCTGACAACTAATATTCTCTGGCATGTGCAGAAATAAAGGCATTCTACGCCACTGTTCAGAAGAGGTTAGTAGACAACAACTATTCTTCAACCACCATCTCTCCATATTTGAAATTCAAGGTCATACAAATTTTCCTTTCCATACTTTCTCTGCAATTATAACAATTCTGGTTTCAACGTATGTAAATTGAGTGGATCCCACCAGATGTAAAGAACAACAACAAAAATTATGGGCTGGTATTAAAAAAAAAAAAAAGGACAGTAAATAACATTTAGCAAAGAAGGGGCAGAGGTTTTGGCAACAAACCTTAGGAAAGATACAAAAAGAGAGGAGAGACTATACCTGGTCTTAGAATTGCATTCCAATGGTGCATATGGAGGCGGGGTGTTGGGGGCTCACCAGACAGGGCCCTGAGAGTGAGTCATCCAATCACAGAGGCATTGCGCATTTGGATGAAGGACACACACAGAAAAATTCCTCTCCCATTCTGAGATTAAAAACTAGCTCTTACTTGACTGGTTTCAAGGCCAAGAGTGTCAGCACAGCCTAAGTACTCAATTTCTATTTGTCAAATGAACAAATAAGTGTTTATTATCTGCAACAAAGTAGAAAGAGTTTAGTGTAACCACAGGGGAGGGAGGGCTCTCTTTTGAGAAATTAAAGAACAAGTAAAACAATGTGAATTAACTGCTCAATATTCTTTTTTTTTTTTTTAAGATTTTTTTTATTTATTTGACACAGAGAGACACAGAGAGAGAGGGAACACAAGCAGGGGGAGTGGGAGAGGGAGAAGCAGGCTTTCTGCTGAGTGGGGAGCCCAATGTGGGCCTCGATCCCAGGACCCTGGGAGCCTAAGGCAGACGCCCAACCACTGAGCCACCCAGGCGCCCACTGCTCAATATTCTTGATCACAAATGTAAGGTGTATAAAATGTAACTATCTTTATTTGGGGGAGGACTTTTGCTGCATTTTAATAAACTGTAATGTTTTCCATATGTTCCCTCCCACTGTTGGTTCCCCCAATCTTACCACCTTTTACATAAAAGTGTGATTTCCTCACCATGTAGGAAAGGCCCAGTAGGATGGAGAAACAATAGTAATAAACTATGGCTTACTGTCCTTTTATGAAAATAACTCTTTGGGGTAATATATAGTGAGGATAGTGGCAAGGTATTAAATGACAAAAAAAGGGCACCTGGCTGGTTCAGTCTATGGAGCATCCAACTCTTGATCTTGGGGGGTGTGAGTTCAAGCCCCGTGTGGGGTGTAGAGATTACTTAAAAATAAAATCTTAAAAAACAGTAAAAATAAAATGACCAAAAAAGTAAAGAAAAAAGGGAAGAGAGTAAAAAGACTGGACCACTCCCAGATAATTGTGTTACACAAAGTTACTGGAAAAAGGTTAATACTGATTCATAAAGCTTACATAACAGGGAAATTAAAAACAAAATCAAAACAGGAAATCTCACAGTGCAAAAATAAAGCAAATGAAGTATGATGCAGTGATCCTTGATCCTTCCAAGATAACATAGAATTTAAAAGCAAAAAGACACTGAATCTTCCAAAACCCTGATTTCCAAATTACGAAATGTGGAAGGCAGCTATGCTCACCACTATACCACCAATGCATGCAAACTGTCAAATTTGGAAATTGATATGCTTATACACTAAGGAAAGCCTGCACAGTTCAAAATATGTGTCTACACCATACATTCTGAATCATTTAGGAACCACGGACACCCCACAATGCTTTATTTTTACTGTAATAAAATACATTATAATTAGATCATCTACAACTCAAGTCTAAACAGAACTAATATGTCACTTAGTAACCAAAACACTGTTACATCTGAAGTAACAGAATTTTCTTGTAAACATGAATTGTATTTTTGAAATTGTGTTTGAGAGTTTAATAGGAATATGTTTGATTACCAACAAGACTAGAAAATCTGCAAGCTGAGACATGAAATGCACTTCTATTAGGGGTTGAGGAGAATTACTTCATTTAATAACACAATTTTTTTTAAAAAGTATGTGGTCCTAAGAATGCCAAAATTCATATTTAAATGTAAAGATAATCTGACACTTTCCAAAAACAGGCAATTTTTAAAAATCCAGTTAAACTTCAAGAGCCGCAGGACAAATACAGTGTAATTCTAAACTGTCTTTAGATGAAGCCTGAAACACAGTTCATTCAACAAATAACTAATGAACACCCAGCATGCATCAGACGCAGAGGATTACAGAACTGAACAAGATTCTGTCCTCCTGGAGATGACATTAGCTCATTTTCCAAAGCTCTAAACCTTAATACGTTCATATTAAATTGGAGTTCACAACGATCTACTTTCCAAAACTCTTAATCTTCTTAATATAAAATAAAATTTTTAAAAAAGAAAGAAAGAAAGCCCGTGAAGAGATAATCTTGTCAAAGCCCTGATGTATGAACTTCACACCTGGGGGAAAAGAAAGAATTCATAAACCAGTTTCTCAAAAAAAAAAAAAAAAAACGAACCGTAACACCTAGCTGGAAGCTAGGCTGTGCCCAAGGCTGCCTCTGCTGGCCGCCTGGGCGCATCCTTCCAGCAGATTCTCAACTCCCGACACCTGTATCAAACTTGCCACTCTAAAAACACATCCCTTTAGGAAAGCAGGAGGTTCCCGAGTAGGCATCACCAGAATACCCCAGCCTCACGTAGCTCCGGAAAAATCTGACTTCTAGAAGGGCCTTCCCTAACTGGCACCAAAACGTTGCCTGTAAGGGACTGAGCGATCACCAAGTGTATACAGCACACAGCCGGTTCCAAAATATACAAAAATCCCCAGCTACTTCTACCTGCTGCTAAAATAACGCTTTGCGTGGCTACACGTTTAGCTAAAATAGGAAGAAAGCATCTGCTCATTCAGTCGAAACATTACGGTGACATATTTTTACCTGAGCTGCAGAAAATCCAACGGTACTCCTCCCTCCCCCTCCCCCCGCCCCGCCCCGGCCCCCAAATAAGCCACTAGCCCTCCGGTCCTCCCCACCCCCGCCCGCCGCACGCAGCCCACCGGGCCGGGAGGGAGTGGGGCGGGCGGGGAAAGGGTCAAGCTCTACTTCGCCACCACTCGGCCTTCCGAGCTCCAGGAGAGGATGTCAGGTTCACAGGGTCTGCGCCCAGCGCCATTAGCACACCTTCGAGCGCTCTCCCGAGCCTGGGCGGGAGGCAAGTTTGGCGGGTCCGGCCCCGGCCCCCCCGCCTTTCCCCAGCGGCAGCATCAGCTGCGGCCGGCGGCTAGAGCTGGTCCCCGCCTCACCCACCTACCTACAGGGCGGGGGCGCCGGCTCCTCGGGTCCCGGAGAAGGGGATCGGGCGCACGCATTTCTGGGAGCGGTGGCCTCTGCAGCTCGGCGCGGGGGAGCGCATCCTCTAGGGTGGGGGAAGGAGGGGTCGGGGGAGGTTCGTGCGGCTAGGAGGAGCAGGGGCGGGAGGGAGGAGCGCCGAGGCGCGTGCCCCCGGGGAGCGGCGTCGGGAGCTGGTGGACTCGGGCGCCGCCAGGACTCCTCAGTCCTCTCCCCGAGCGCGGCACCTTGCCAACCCTGCAGCTACGCCCGCAGTCAGGGCATCCGCCGCGACAGGCTCGCGGGCCCGGCCGGAGGCGGGGAACTGCGGGTGGCGCGACGCGGTGCAGACGCCCGCCTCTAGCTCCGCCCGGCCCGCGCCACGCTCTGCGCCCCTCCGCAGCGGCGGGGGCCAGGAAGCTCCGCCGCGGGGCTCGGCGGCTTGGGTTGCGGCATCCTCCCCGCCCCAGCGATCTCCGAGCTGGAAGGCTGAGTACCCACCCCCGCCACCCCTCGGCTGCCGCAGCCTCCGCGGCCCCGACACAGCCCCGGCCTTGGCCGGGCGGCTCCGCCCCGGAGAGCTGCGCGCGCGGCCTCCGCAGGCCTCGGCCCATTGTGACGCTGTTACCCCGGCGGCCGGACGCCGGGCGGCGCAGCCTGAGAGGGTCGTCTTACCTCGCCCCGGGCCGCATCCCCTACCGCTGGCCCGCCATGGCCACCACTCTTCGTGGAAAGTGAGGCTTTGAGAGCAAAGCTGGAGTTATAAAGCGTCTCTCTGAGTTTTAAAGCCTTGAGTTTCCGTCCAGCTTGGGGACCACTGGCCACAATAAAGTCATCCTTCTGTCCTTTCCGGCTTTACGTTTCTCAAAGGGGCCCACCATCTCCTCCCCCTCCCGCTCCCGACCTGGTACAGCATCCCGGGTGCAGCCAAATTGCAATCAGTACGGCAGTAGGGACGTAGCTATTGGATTTTCCAGGCCGAGTCTCGGCAGAGATCCTAGAGAGCCTTGGTTGGGAGGATTTGCATCAGCAACGGGGCAGTGCTGGTGAGCTTCCCATACTTTCTTGGGAGCTCTTTCCTCTTTGGTCCCGTGACCAGCACTGCAAGATGACTAGGAGGATTTGGCCTTGAGGTTTACCCTTACACACAGGGGGGGAAAAAAGTCAAGGCACAGTCTGCAGCTGGTCTGATAACACTGGTATGTCAGAGGCCATACACACAAGCACACTAGACAGTGGCTTCCTTTGGGTTGTTGATGCCGCTTATGGGCTTGGGCATTTCAGTTGCAAGTGGTCACGTTATACTATCTTGCAAGGTATGGAATAATGGTCCAATTCTGAACTGAACATATATAAAATTGGACATGCGGTTTATATCTTTAGGCAAGTGCAGTAATTTGCAAATTATTTTCAAGGGAAAAATTAGACTCTTAAAATACAAAGAGCTGATTTTATTGAATCAAAAAGAACATTGTTTGGGATCTCCAGAGAAACTTAGCCATTCTCACACTTGTTTGATGAGTGCTTTTATGATGTTGAAATCTAAGATTTTTTTTAAATGGCTAAGATTAAGACAGGTTCCATAGGAGTACAAACGGATAAAATCGCTAAGGCTTCTTGAGAGGAGTTCCATGTGGAGCAAGGTAGAAGCTGAACTGCTTAGGAGTCAGGAAAACAGTGGCTCATGACTTCTCCACTTTGAGGACTCTAATAGAGAGCTACAGTTTATATTCAAAAGATACCTATTATTATTCATGATATTTCCTCCCAAATGCAGAATAACTCAATTATAGAAATATTCATGTATATATGTGATGCATAAGGACAGAATGAAGTCACTTAATGAGAATTTAGCAGTTGCTTACTCTAACAATGTTTATAAAGAAGTCTGCCTTAGAATGCAGTTTATAGGGGTGCCTGGGTGGCTCAGTGGGTTAAGCCGCTGCCTTGGGCTCAGGTCATATCTCAGAGTCCTGGGATCGAGTCCCGCATCGGGCTCTCTGCTCAGCAGGGAGCCTGCTTCTTTCTCTCTCTCTCTCTCTCTCTTTCTCTCTCTGCCTGCCTCTCCATCTACTTGTGATCTCTCTCTGTCAAATAAATAAATAAAATCTTTAAAAAAAAAAAGAATGCAGTTTATAGGACATTGGTAGAAATGTTCATTGAGTGGCAATTCTTGATATCTGTCCTGATATAATAGAGATTTCTGCTCCCCAGCTTAGAAGTAGAGAAAAATTACCCTTAAAGATTCATCACTAGTTCCTTCTCATTAATTTAGCATTTATTGATTTGCCCAAGCCCTGTCTTTCTGGAGAGAGACACTAGAGGAAAAAAATCATTTCCTTATCCCCTAGTAGATATGTACTGTCCAATACTAGCCACATGTGGCCACTTAAATTTAACTTAAAAATGTATTTTTTCATTACACTAGCCACACTTCAAATGCTGAAGAGCTACACATGGCTAGGGACCACTCTTTTAGATAGATTATTTCCAGTATTATAAAAAAATTATTCTGGGCAGTGCCACTCTAAATAGAGGGTGAAATTTTAATTGGGAGACAAGATGAAATACATAAAATAATTTGAGAAATCTTAGTACACTAAAGATTGAACCTCATTAGAACATGTACTGTTTAAGAACATGGCAGTCTCTTAAGAATTCAGGCTCTGATCTCAGACTATAGCTCTACCTGTGCTGACGTAGGATATGTTGCTTAACCTCTGTTGCTTTATCTGTAAAAGGGAGTTAATAGTATCAACTTTATAGGATGGAAATAGAGATTAAATGAGGTAATCCATGAATGATGCTTAGACTTAGAATAGGACCAAGAAAAGTTAGCTATGACTCTTATACATTATTTTAGTAAAGGTTTTCTTTCTTTAGTAAAGGTTTTCTTTAGTAAAAGATTTTCTTTCTTTCTTTCTTTCTTTCTTTCTTTCTTTCTTTCTTTCTTAAAAGTTGTAACCTTTGGGTGCCTGAGTGGCTCAGTCAGTTAAGCTTCCGATTCTTGATTCCAGCTCAGGTCATGATCCTAAGGTTGTGAGATCAAGCCCTGCCACAGGCTCCAGGCTCAGCCCAGAGTCTGGGGAGGCTTTGGGAAACATCAACAAACAATAGCAACTGTCACTGCAAATGTGTGCAGTATTTTTCTTATGTATCTATCTAAATATCATTTTGTAAGGAGAGGTGTGGAGGGATGGGGTAACTGGGTGATGAACACTGGAGAGGGTATGTATTGTAATGAGCACTGGGTATTATATAAGACTGATGAATTACAGAGCTGTACCCCTGAAACAATACATTATATGTTAATTAATTGAATTTAAATTTAAAAAGGAAAAACCAAAAAAAAATAAAGATAATTTCATAATGAAGTGTGGCTAGTGTGTCTTTTTTTTCCCCCTAGGGAGGGAGAGCATGTGCCCACATTGGGGCATGGGGGTAGGAGTGGAGGGAGAGGGGAGAATCTTAAGCAGAATCCATGCTGAGGCCAAGGTGGGGGCTCAATCTTATGACCCTGAGCACATGACCTCAGTGAAATCAAGAGTCAGATAGAAGCTCAACCAACTGAGCTACCGAGGTGCCCCTAGTGTGTTCTGGTTTTTTAAATTTTTTAAATTTTTTAAAATTTTTTTATAAACAGGGACGCCTGGGTGGCTCAGTTGGTTAAGCGGCTGCCTTCGGCTCAGGTCATGATCCTAGCGTCCTGGGATCGAGTCCCACATCGGGCTCCTTGCTCAGCGGGGAGCTTGCTTCTCCCTCTGCCTCTGCCTACCACTCTGTCTGCCTGTGCTCATGCTCGCTCTCACTCTCTCTCTCTCTCTCTCTAATAAATAAATAAAATCTTAAAAAAAAAATTTTTTTATAAACATATAATGTATTTTTAACCCCAGGGGTACAGGAGTGTGTCTGTTTTTAAGCACAACACTCACTGGTTACCTTTCCTTGAACTGGAATTCCAGGAACATCAGCAAATACTGCTCTAATAGTTTGCCATAATGAAAGGCTCCTTGGATAAGCAATGAGCTCTCAACCACTAAAAGAACTGAAACTCCTTTGGAAGTTTCCTCCTTCAAGGTATCGGAGAGAAGATTTGTGTATTGGGTGATGAGTTTAGTCTGCTGGCACCAAGAAAGTTCACTTTTAATGGTTAAACCTATCCCTCTCTTCCTAGCCGAGAAACACCTCCTTTCACATGCCTGACTTGAGCTGGTTGAGACACAGGAGTTCCACGGGAGGTAAATGCTAATGACATCTGTGGAGGTCTGTGGGTAGCCATCTTGGACCTAAAGAGACAGAATTGAGTTCACTGTTTAATAGTGTTGAAGGTAGTAGTTCATTTTTACAGCTGCTGTCATTGGTCCAGCACATCACAGATACCCCTTGAATTTTGAGAAAAATGTAAATAGGTCTTTGTGGATGGGCCTAGGCTCAGTGTTTCTCTCAGTTATAAAGTCTAAGGAGGAGGGAGAAATCTCCTTGTCATTTGAGAGGAGAAGGCTGAGGCTCCCAGAATGTATTCAGAAAGAAATACTGATGTCTGTGGAAATGGACTGCTGTCTGGTCGCTGTCAGCATGCAGAACGAATGGCTGATTATTTATATCAAGCCCAACAAATTTGCCCTTTTTTTAAAGTCACAGTTCATTAAAAAAAATTATCTGCTCTTGGAGAGTTTCTGCTGCTTTATTTCTGCTGGAAAGTCTGTTTAGTAGCTTGAGAATTCATTACATGTTTTTTTACATTTTCTGGAAAACTTAGTCAAATAAGCTGGTACAAAGACATTGCAGCTAAGATATAATTTAAAATTCTGAAATGAACCCCTAAAAAGAACTGGTAGTTATTGCCTTGAATTCATTAGATGAAAGAAATTTACAGTGCAATGAACTGAAAAGGGTTTTTTTCAAAGGACGTAATTATAGATTCACAATTGAAAAAAAAAAAATATATATATATATATGGAAGTCCCAGGTTTCCCCTGCCCCTCTCCCACAGCTCCAGTTGTCCCTCCATGGTAACATCTTGGGTAGCTCCAGTACAGTATCAAAATCAGAAAAATGACACAGGTATGATCTTTCAAGCTTGTTTGTATTTCATCAGTTTTACATATTCTCTTTTGTGTTTGTGTGTCTTATGCAATTGTATTATCTGTACAGATTATCCCAATAAGACACAGAACTGCTCTAGTACCACAAAGCTCTCATGACCTACTTCCTTATAGTTGCATCCATCTTCCTCTCCACCACATCTCTGATTCCTGCAAATCACTCATCCCTTCTCATCTCTAAAATTTAAAAAACACTGTATAAAAGGAATCATACTGTATGTAACTTTTTAGATTTTTTTTTCATAACTCCCTTGGGATCCATCCGCGTTGTTATGTGGATCGATGGTTTGTTCCCTTTTTTGATAAGTATTCCATGGTATGGATGTGCCACAGTTTA